TGTGTGGTGGGGGGGCTGCAGGGCTCATCTCTGCTGAGAGAACTCAATTCAGCTGTCTATTTTTGTCCAAACTCCAGTGTAGAGCAAGGGTAAAGATGAATAGCGTAATAAAACTGAACCTGAATTATCCTCACGGGGCCGCAGATGAGCAGATACTAATGTTTCACAACCAGTTCATAGTAATCATATGCATCAGTTGCATTTATTCATTCATTTCAAATAAAAAAGGACTCGGGGAAGGTCATTTTAAGGTTGGTGGAAAGATCCTGCCAAGCTTAAATTACTGATGGATGCTGAGAACAGCGGTTATTGTTTCAGAACAGCAGATTTAGAAATAGGACTGCATGCAGCAAACAGTAGGTTAATAGATAGAGACCAGTGCAGAAGGTCAGCACTCATAAATCAGAGTGGCTTTTACCCTCCACAGCCAAGGCTGCTCTTTTAAACGACTGCTATTATATCGCACCTGCCACAGAAGTTTAATGTTACAGCAACGCGCAGGTAATTCAAGCCTAGATAAAGGTGGAGGCATTCTTTCACTCTTGTGACCATTAAAGCACCAACAATAGGTGAATTTCAACCACTTCAACGTGACATGTTTATCTGGAGGATGAATGACAGTTTCAGCTAAAATGTGAATATATGTGTTACTGTTTTTAGACAGATATTATTACAAATGTTCAGGGGAAGACAGTTTACTAGCTGGATGCGACCGACACCCACCACAACACTCTGTCGTTTGTAGACGCTCGCAGACTCCGAACATTAGCTGGTGTTGGACACTGTTGACAGTGAAGGGAACATGCATAGACATCAAAGCGTTTGGATGTTCGTTCACATATAAATCTGTCCACAGGCAACCAAGAAAGTCCGGTAAGGTCTCATTTTTTAAGCTACGTTACGACCCTTCCACTCACTGGCGATAAAAAGTGATTAATACATAAAAATAACACGTACAATGCTTCAGAAGAAACAAATTAAAAAGGTTTTCATGTCAAAGAAGTAAAGGAACAAAGGAGACATTTATATGAACCTTCTGAAATCTGGTTGCTGCCAAAAGTGGGGAGTAATCAGATTACACTAAGTGACTGTGAGGGATTGCTGGTAATCATCTACTTACAGTCAGATCATCAGAGAGCATCAGTGCAGGCTGCTCGTCATCGCAGAGAGGAATGTGAGCGAGCGGTTGAAGCAGCCACAGTTTAGTATGCGAGACGCAGACGAAAGCTTATGTCTTTCCACAATAGCACACTTTATGTTTGGAGTTTAATTTGTGTGAGCCATTCACTTTTCTAAATACAGTCAGGCCCTGCTGAACTGCTCAATTGATTTTCTCACGGCAATAGAAATACTCCAGCAGAGAATGAGATTCCATTATGAAAATCTACTTTTAAAAAAAAACCATCAGTGTCTGGACCATCTGCAGTTCGCCAAAAACTGATTCCTATGTGAGGGTATGCAGCGTGAGCTCTGTATGGTTGAGAAGACAACTGTTTGTTTTGGAGAATGTGTTGAAGGAGGTTATCTAAGAGCAGAGCAAAGTGTCCAAAGTCCAATCCATACAGATAGAGTCCAGCTTACAAAGGCTGAGCTGCTTGATTTAGGCTTAACACTCAGTCATCCCTGCCTTAATGCTCCTTTAGGCCGTCTGGCGCATTAGTGCCACTGCATTAACACACTGATGCTCTTACCGAGACCGGCTCCATCCCCGCTGCCATCCAACCGTCCCCAACCGTCAGCAGTAGCCCGAATCCATAAAGGTTGATCTTTTGCACTCGCTGTGTTCAAAGTCGCGTTCAATCGTCAAATTGACAGATAGTAAGCTTCGTGCTCCGGAGAGGGACGGAGCCAACGGTGGCGCTGAGGGACTGTAGCCACTAGCCCATTAAAATGATTTGACTGTCATTTCCGTGCCATCTCCTCTTCATCCCCATGGAGGTCTGCCAGAGCTCAGCTTGTTTTGTGCTATTTTATATGTAATGGACGATGGATCACAGATTATCTATGGGAAGCTCTTAAACTGAACTCACTCAAACGAAATGTTTCAAAGAGATTCCGTACGCATGAATGTGTTAATATTCTTGGTTTCACTGAGTTTAATGGTCTTATTCTGCTTCTTGGATCGTCTTACAGCGTCTGAAAACCCCGTTCAGCACATAAACAATCCGTTCTTTATACTAAAAGCTAAAAAACTCTGTGCCTAGTTACTGTTGCTTATCTATGATTGGACAGTTTTTGGGTAAAGGTCAGGGTATTTTAAAGATACTGAATGTTATCTCAACATATCAGCGAATCAGCAGGACTTGGAGCAATGCACAGGGCAGTTGCTCGTGGGATTATTCAAAATTTCCATCCCTCCTCTCAACAGACACGATTGTGTGTCAACAGGAATCAAAGTCTTGTCTGAGTCTGCCCGAAGGTTCTTCTCGTCTTCTGGTTCTGTGCAGCGAGCTCATGGCCCTGTTCTTGTTCTCTGCCGGGGCTTTTATGTAACCCAGTGTTGGTTGTTTTCGCCTCTGGTTCAAAATCCGTTCAGTTCAGTTCTGTACAATGAACATTTTGTACTGCGCTCAGAAAGCATGCGTATAGATCTGTAGTTCATCTGTAGTCGTCAAACCACATGTATTAGAGCTTTATGGTGTAAAAATTCTGACCCTTGAGCTAATGAAAGCTTTTGAAAACCAGTCTGTTATATCAAAGCTGCTTTCATTGAGCTCACTAAGTGAGAGTAATTGAGAATGCACGCAATAAAAGGACATGAATTTTATAATTCTTCTGCCTTTTAAAGACCAAATTTGACATAACCATAAAACTCTCTATAGCAATTAAAAATTAAAAATATCAGCTTCCTCATTTGGAGTTGATTAAGTGCAGCAGTTCGTTTGTACGTTTAATGTAAAAAACGATGTATCTGCACCTTCTCTTTTGCTTTTAAATGACTAATAACTGATAGTACATGCTTGCAGTTTTACAGAGAAGAATATTTCTGAAACCCCAGGAACTGTAATCAAATGATATCTATAAATAATACAAACCGCACTATGCTGCTTTGTAAAATCCCATTAAGATATATTGAAGGGATTTAGGATAATACTCCTCGAGCAGTTCTGATAAGAATGTCTTCAAAGTGTTTCAGGATAACCTAAAGTTGAAGTTTTCAGTTTTTCAAGTGAGACAATTTCACCAAAGTAAGGAAACGCTTTGAATGTTTGTGCTGTTTGGATTTTTATCTTTTTATATTAACTTCTTGAGTTTCTGTTCGACTCTGATGCTGAACTGTACCTGCACACTGCTGCACTTCCAGAAAACACTTTGTCCAAACTGCGACTTCTGAGCGTGAGTTTCTGTGGAGGGACTCTGTGCTTAATGTCACTGCTCATACTGACTAAAGAGTCCTTCTGCCCCTATGTTTTAGCTGACAAACTGTTTGTAAGACCTAGAAAAGCTTTCATTCAGAGCTCAGCTGCTATGTTGGCCTGTTGCAGACGTATCAGTATTGTTTTGGTGTCGATGTGTCAGCCGATACACGGCGATGCTTTTTTCAGGTACATAATGCAAAAAGGCTTGTAGGTTTTACAGTACCGATGTTCAGCTATTTATTGTATTTTTATAATAATAATAATAATATTAATGCATTTTATTTATAGAGGGGTTTTAATGGTACTCAGAGACACTTCACATAAGTTAAAATACATATGTTAAACAGGTCATAGAAACAAAAAGTGTAAAAGAAAGGTTACAAAAACACAAGGATTCATATTTTCAGGTGATTATACACTAATGAAAACATACATATGGATATTATATTAGTAATAGATCCTCCTAAATGTTACACACTGGACCTTTAAAGAATATTTAACTAAAGTTTTCTTTGATAAAGTTATTTGTTTAATAAAACAGCCATCTGAGCACAGTTGCACAGTCATATCGGTGTAAAAATCTATTTTCGTTCCAGCTCAAAAATTCCCTGTATCAGCCGTCACATCTGTGATCAGTGAATTTTCCTCCTCTAAAATCAGTGTCATTGTTGTAGGTGACAGACTTGGTATTTGAAAACTACTCGGCAACTTCACACTTTGTAGCATCGAGTGGAAGCGAGAGTTACCTTTTGAATTTCTAAAGCCCATTTCTGAAGCACTGTGTTGGGCTGAAGAGGTTCAGGGAGAATAGCAGTCACTCGTTTCACAACCGAGTTTTAATTCATCGCTTCCTGCTGTTCTGCCACTTCCACAAATTTGAATTGAAAGGGACTTGAAAGGCCGGATCTACATTGTCTTAAATGGCACGGATAGAATACCCCTCTCTGCAGCTCTGTGTGTTAAGCTGATAACTCAACAGGACATTACATCAGAGAAATTAGCGCCGCTTTAAAGCAGAAATCTCTTTCTGTTTCTTTCACAGGTCCTCGATGGGCGTCATGGAACCTCGGGGTGTTCATGTGTATCCGCTGCGCCGGCATCCACCGCAACCTGGGTGTCCACATCTCCAGAGTCAAATCTGTCAATCTGGACCAGTGGACATCTGAGCAGATCCAGGTACACACACACACACAAACACACACCTTAATCACACAAAGCAACGCACACCGGTGTGGGAATACTGCAGCGACAAATCCACCATAAAAATACTGATTGTATCTGTGATTTATACTGTTTACATCTGGATCCCTCAAGAATCAGATGTTCTCACTGGGATGATTTCAAACACGATTTACTTTTAGCGTTTAAACTGGAACAGTCAACAAGCTGTGCAGCAAGAACGGTGAAGAAAGGACAGAGAGTTGTTTGTGATTTTAGAAATCACTGGAGCAACACAATGTAATTTATGTTTTTGGGCAGAGTTTTCCTTTAACCCTGTGAACCGAATTGACCCAATTTGTGTCAGAAACTGCACTTTTGTTCTCAGATTCACAGTCACATCCAAACACACACAATTCATACACATAATGCCGGAGTCAGTGGACTCCGGCATTATGGAGTTTACTCAGTTTAATGGTGCAGATGTCCTTCGTGTTACCCAAAGCAACACCAAAGCCCAAAATTGCAGCCATATGTCGGGTTCAGCTCGGGCTCGGACCGCCATTGTTTCCCTCTATGGACGAGTTGAAACTGCGCTAAGGCTGCTCAATTAATCGAA